TCCCATATGGGTGCTGGTCCAAGTCCCAGCTTCTCCTCTTCCAATCCAGCTCTCTATGGCCTCGGAAAGAAGTGGAAGATGTCCTACTGTTTTATAGGAAGAAAGAAGAAGAAGAACAAGAGGAGGAAGAGAAGGAGAAGAACAAGAAGAACAAGAGGAGAAGGAGAAGGAGGAAGAGGAAGAAGAAGAAGAGGAGAAGAAGGAAGAAGAAGAGGAGGAAGAGGAGGAGGAGGAGGAGGAAGAGGAGAAGGAGGAGGAGGGGGAGGAGGAGGAGGAAGAAGAGAAGAAGAAGAAGAAGATGAAGAAGAAGTAGTAGTAGTAGTAGTAGTAGTAGAAGAAGAAGAAGAAGACTAAAAAAACAGTGTGGGGGATTTATGGGATATTATCCAATGACCCAACATATGGAAATTAGGAGTTTCTGAAGGCATGGAAAGAGAGAATGGATTAGAAGGTCTTTTTTTTTTTTTCTTTCCTTCTCTTCTCGGACAGGCAGAGTGAACAGTGAGAGAGAGAGACAGGGAGAAAGGTCTTCCTTTGCCGTTGGTTCACCCTCCAATGGCCGCTGCTGCTGGTGCTGGTGCTGATCTGAAGGCAGGAGCCAGGTGCTTCTCCTGGTCTCCCATGGGGTGCAGGGCCCAAGTACTCGGGCCATCCTCCACTGCACTCCCTGGCCACAGCAGAGAGCTGGCCTAGAAGAGGGGCACCTGGGACAGAATCCGGCGCCCCAACCGGGACTAGAACCCAGGGTGCCGGCACTGCAGGCAGAGGATTAGCCTATTGAGTTGCGGCGCCGGCCTTAGAAGGCTTTTTTTTAAATGAAAAAATTACAGGAAACTTCCCTAATTTGGAGAAAGAAAGGGATGTCCAATTATAGGAAGCTCACAGAACTCCTAATAGACATGGCCAGAGAAGATCCTCATGATACACTGCAGTCAAACTCTCTACAGTAAAACACAAAGAAGAGACTGAAAATGAGAGAAAGGCCAGGTATTTTCAGGGGATCTCCAATTAGACTCACAGTAGACTTCTCAGCAGAAACCCTACAGGCTAGGCGAGAGTGGTAAGATGCATTGCAAGACTTAAGAGAAAAGAACTGTCAACCCAGAATACTGCAGCCTGCAAAGCTCTCATTTATGAAGGAAGGTGAAATAAAGACCTTCTATAACAAAAAGAAATTGAAAGAATTTGTCAACACTTGTCTAGCCTTACAAAAGATGCTTAAGGATGTGCTATACACAGAAACATGGTCACCACTATGAAAGAAGATGAAGGCAGAAAATCTCCCAATAAAAGTACAAAGAGAATCCAAAGTAAACAATAGGAATATTTTTGGAAAAATGGCAGGGGCAAGTCATTACTTATCAATAGTCACCTTTAATGTAAATGGCCTCAACTCTCCAGTTAAAAGATACAGACTGGCTGAGTGGATTAAAAAACAAAACCCATCTATTTGTTGCCTACAAGAAACACATCTCACCAGCAAAGATGCATGCAGACTGAAAGTGAAAGGATAGAGAAAGATAATCCATGCTAACAGAAATCCAAAAAGAGCTGGTAGAGCCAACCTAATACCAGACAAAATAGACTTTAACACAAAAACTGTTAAGAGAGACAAACAAGGGCACCATGCAATGATTAAGGGATCAATTCTACAGGAAGATATGACTATAATAAATGTATATGCACCTATTTACAGGGCACTTGGCTATTTAAAGGAAATGTTAATGGATTTAAAGGAACACATATGCACACTGGATATGAACACATATCTAATGCAATAGTAATGGGGGATTTCAATACCCTGCTTTCAGCAATAGACAGATAAACCAGACAGAAAATCAGCAAGGAAACAACAGTTAATAGACACTATAGACCAAATGGACGCAATGGATATCTATTGAACTTTTCTTGCTACAATTGCAGATACACATTGTTCTCACCAGTTGCATGCACAACTTTTTCTAGGATAGACTACAGGCTAGGCCATAAAGCAAGTCGCAGCAAACTCAAAAAAAATCAAAATCATACCATGTATCTTCTCTGACTACAATGGAATGAAACTGGAAATCAACAATTCAAGAATCTTCAGAGCATATGCAAACACATGGAGACTGAACAACATGCTCCTGAATGAACAGCGGGTCACAGGAGAAATCAAGAGAAATCAAAAAACTGTTGATAAACAGTTTTTTTTTTCATATTATTTGTTGCACCCTTTACTTAGCATAGAGTTAATCTTCTGTGTATAAAGTTAATTGAAAATAGATTGTAGTAAAAAATAAGAATAGGAATAGGAGAGGAAGAAGGAAGAAGGATGGGAGGGAGAGCACGGTGGGAAGAATCACTACATTCCTGAGGTTGTTTTTATAAAATGCATGAAATTTGTATGCCTTAAATAAAAGGGTTCAAATAAAAGGGTTCAGGGGGAAAAATTAGAACTGAGCGTTGAAGGTGAGACCGAACCCCTATAATGTAAAATCAGGACCCAGGTCATCTGTTTCCCTCAGCCCAAGGTGTCCTTGCCTGTCCTTTATCAAAGGAATTCACTGAATTGAGAGAGTGGTACAGCTGGCCCTACCAGCTTCTAATCACCAGACCCAAGAAGCCATTTGCTTCTCCAATAGTCAAAACCTTGCTGGCCAGTATTGTGTGGAGGGGTCTGTGGAGGGGAATCCCAGGTCTGGGGCAGAAGGAAACCACCACTTAGATGTGGCCCTACCACTACTCCAGACCAACTGGAGTCTGCCTGGCCACCATAAATTCCCTAAAGAGCATGGCATCAGCCACCAATCAAAGAAGGTCACAAGCTCCACTGACCAATCTGGAACTCGGGCACAAGCTGATCATACACCTCTCAGCCCCAATTTCAACCCATAACAGCCTTCGCCCCCAACTCCTCATTGAGCCTGAGAATTAAGGAATCGCTGCCCAGCTCCTTGCCCTGTGCTTTGCAATAAACACCTGCTTTCTCCCAAGGTCGGCGATCGGCTTTTGTGCATCAGGAGAGCAGACCTAGCGGAGGGTTCTACACCAACACCTCCAGCTAGTTTGGGGGGTGGGGGTGTTCAGCACCAAGGGCAACCATTGTCTGAAGCAGATTAATTTTAGTGCCCACTTCTCAACAGAAAGGGAAGGTAAAAGAAAATTCTAGTTACTTCATGGAAAAAGCAAATCACCTTCACCTCTATATTGCCCTTGCTGTCTTCACGGGGACTCGTTACTGGACGCTGTTCTATAAGTGTTCCTTAGTTGAAGGTATTTTTACATGAATAATTCCAGAAAAAGGAAGCAGGACCATGCTAATTAGTTTTGATGCTTATTTGTGGTTTCTTAGTTATACGCACAAAGTGGAGAAAACCAAGCTTAGGATTTCAAAAGAAATCATTATGCATGATATACAGCTCAGGAATGCAAGGAATATCAGGATGACAGGCCATCATGTTTGTTTCTACACGTGTGTTTCCTCCAGGTTGTATGGGGTGCATTCTCAAGGAAATATTCAGGAAGATAAACAAGACAGCAGGAAGGCTCTTTGGGAGAAAAGGAAAGAAAAAATTAAAAGAAAAAGAAGCAGGAACAGGAGCGGGACTCTCTTTGTTCCTGTTCCTCCCCACGTGAAGGAGAGTCCAGGGGAAAACAGGCGCGCAGTGGAGCCTTACTTTCTGCAGAGTGCCACCTAGTGGCCTATTCTGAGAAATTGTTTTTGTTTTTGCCAAAGGTTGAAAAATCGGAAATTCCAAAATTGTGAACAGATTTGACAAGTCGTTAATCACTTTTATGAGAGGGTGTAAATGCCAGTGGAAGAATCATTTGGACAGCTTTTGATTTCAGAAGTTTCCCTATTAATAATGGTCATGTCTTTGCCTACGCACAAAAATCACTTGACAAGGAGTCTATACCCCTCAGTCTCTGTTGAAGAAATACCAGCCAGCTCTCCCCACACCTGCCCCCCAGCTCCTCGGAAGCCAGAATGAATGAAATCCTGGCTGGCCCCAAGAGAGGTCTGGAAAGGAAGCTGGAGGGCAGCCTTCAGATGATCCCCTGCTGCTAGTTTTGTTTCAACTTTCCTTCCATTTAAGACGAAGCAAAGACTGTGACTGTGGCTCTTTGTTTTCTGAGCTGGGCTTTTCATTCCTCTACAAGTAGCTCTGCCTGCCTGGTGGCTTTTCTCTGAGCAGGCAAACGCCCCATGCTGGACATGGGTGCCAGTGATTTCAAGAGTGATATACAGAAAGAAGATGAAATGATGAGCCACAAGGGATGTCTGCCCCTCCTTTCTTAAAAGCATACTCACTGCTACTTCTAGACACAGCCTCAAACACATGAAACCCTGGAGTGCAGTGCTGGGAGAACATGGAGGCAGCTGCCTAGCAAAGGCTGCAACATCCTGTGTAAATCAAAGGAGCTGGAACCAACTACAAGTTCCCTTCATGGGTCCTGGTTTCTTGTGTCTTGAGATGAGGATTAACTGAGCAGTGGGTCAAGATCATGTACACCCCAGGTCGCTTAGGAGAGCTGTAGGGTGGGGTCGACAACTGGGTGGGAAGTCAGACAAAGTGACCTCTGAGGATCCCATGCCCAGCTGACACTGGATTCTCCACACTCCTTTCACTAGGAGGCATGCGTGAAAAGAAATGGTCTTCCCGGAAGTTTGAGGTCAACGGACCACATATGAGTGGTTAGCATGCACTGATGATTGCATATGGTTTTATAAATGGAAGAATAAAAAATGGCAGACAGAGAAACTGAGACATCTAAGAGCTGATGTTGTGGGAAGTGTGCATGCGGGTGTTGGCAAGTCTATGTGTATACACACGTATATAGGCTTATTCTCTGCCATTAAATCATGAACAAAACACTTTCTTTTTCTGGAATTTAGGTAAATCCTTACGTTTCAATGTTTGTAGAGCAGGACGAGCAGTATTTAGACACTAACTGGAAAAGGCCACCTGGATTGGTACAAGCATTAGGATCACAGCTGGTGAGGGGTTCCCAGGTACCTGTTTTGGTCAAAGGGATTGAGAAGAGTTGCTGAAGAAGTTTGTTTTCTGATGTCCTCAGGACCACAACCACATCAGCTGGGAGAGTGTCTCTGTTTTTCTCAAGAACCCCAGAAGCATCATATAACACCTGCAACACAAAAAGCAAATAGCAACTTAGCCAAGTCAACCGTCCAATGCTGGCAGCACCAACAACAGGGCTGGTGAGTCATTAATCAAATTCTGTATAAAACTCATCTTGACACAGCCATGCAGTTCTTTGTAAAAATTTCCATTGACTTGTTTATTTTTATTTAGTTGAACTGGGAGTTGGGGGGTGGGGTGGGGAAGAGAGATCACGCACATCTGCTGGTTCACTCCCTACATGCCTGCAATAGCCAAGGATGGGCCAGGTTGAAGCCAGAAGTTCAGAACTAAACCTGGGGTTGGAGCTGTGGTGCAGCGGGTTAAAGCCCTGGCCTGAAGCGCTAGCATCCCATATGGGTGCTGGTTCTAGTCCTGGTTGCTCCTCTTCCAGTCCAGCTCTCTGCTATGGCCTGGGAAAGCCGTACAAGATGGCCCAAGTCCTTGGGCCCCTGTACCCACATGGGAGACCCAGAAGAAGGTCCTGGCTCCTGGCTTCAGATAGGTGCAGCTCCAGCCGTTGCAGCCATCTGAAGAGTGAACCAGTGATGGAAGACCTCACTGTCTGTCTCTACCTCTTTCTGTAACTCTCTTTCAAATAAATAAAATAAATCTTTTTTAAAAAAAAAAAAAACAAGAACTAAACCCACATCTCTGTGTTGGCATTGTGTTACAGGTGGTTAAGCCACCTTCTGCAGTGCCCACATCCATATGGGCACTGGTTGAAGTCCAATCTGTTCTACTTCTGATCTAGCTCTCTGCTAATATGCCTGGGAAGACAGCCCAAGTGCTTGGAGACCTGGATGGACTTTCAGGCTCCTGGTTTTGGCCTGGTCCAGCCTCGGCTGTTGTGGCCATTTAAGGAGTGAATCAGCAGATAGAAGACCTCTCTTTCTCTCCTTCTAACTCTGCCTTTCAAATAAATAAATAAATCTTTTTTTAAAAAAATTTATGGGACTTGCACTGTGGCACAGCAGGTTAATGCCCTGGTCTGAAGTGCTGGCATCCCATATGGGTGCCGGTTTGAGACCCAGCTTCTCCACTTCTGATCCAGCTCTCTGCTGTGGCCTGGGAAAGCAGTAGAAGATGGCCCAAGTCCTTGGGCCCCCGCACCCACATGGGAGACCTGGAAGAAGCTCCTGGCTCCTAGCTTCAGATACGCACAGCTCCAGCCATTGTGGCCAACTGGGGAGTAAACCAGTGGATGGGAGACCTCTCTCTCTGTCTCTGCCTCTCCTCCTCTCTCTGCGTAACTCTGACTTTCAAATAAATAAGTCTTTAAAAAAAAAAAGAGAGAAATCATATCAGAATAATCAAAATACATTGGGCCCCTACTCTGTGCAAAGCACCCCACTGGAGGCAAGCTTCACTGCATTGGTAGGCAAGCAGAGGCCGTGACGGAACTGAAGCAAGTGCCACGGTCTCAGACTGCGCAAGCGGTAGGCTGGCATCAAAGCCCAGGCAGCCCGGGTGCATGCGCATCGCTGCTGTCCTCTCACTGCCTACCAAGAAACTCATGGGATCAGAATGCTTGCTCAAGGATGCGGAGCCGTTCTCCGAAGAGAAGGGTCCAGTTCAGAGAAATGTTAAGTATACCCCTTGGGAATCCCTTATTTACACATAAACTTTGCATGGCAAATGGATTCAGCAAAGAACACAGAACCCAGAGAGAAAAGGATCCTTTCTTTTCTAAAAACAAGAAAGAGAAAGAGGGAAGAAGACCAGGCAGGAAATAGGTGTGAAAGGACAGAGAGAGGCAGAGAGGGGTGAGATAAACAGAGCCGGACTGGGAGGCAGAGGCAGGCTGGAGGTTGGTGTTCATTCGGAGGACATTAAGGAAGGGGTCTGGGGCAGGTGTGGTGGTGCAGGACGCTAAGCCCCCACGCGGAATGCCCACATTCCACAGCCGAGTGTCTGGCATTCAGTCCCGGCTCCTCTGCTTCTGCTGTAGCTTCTGGCTAGTGCACCTGGGAGGCAGCAGGTGATGGCTAAAGTACCTGAGTTCCTGCCACCCATGGAGACCTAGATGGAGTTCCCGCTTCCTGGCTTCTGCATGGTGCAGCACCAGCTGTTGCAGCCATTTGGGGAGTGAACCAATGGATAGAAGCTCTGTTCATGTTTTTAAGATGAATTAAAAATACATATATTTTTTAAAAGACAAGGGATCTTCATAAGTTCATAGAAAATGTGTATTGTGAAAAAACTAAGGGTTTCAAAAACTTTTGCACAAAAATAGACTCATATTTTAATTCCATTTTCCATGAACTTTTTTGTGGCCAGATATCAGTGCTAAGGTGAATGAAATAGTTAAGCGTAAAAATTGGATTGCAATTATTAACAAAGAAATGAAAATATAACACGGAGAGGAAAGCAGTCTTCCTTCCTTACATTAGAACTGCCTTTTAACCGTCAGCCACCAGGCAAAGTTAATTTAAATGCTACGCTATGAATATGAAAGATCATTTTGATATATCTTGAATCAACAAAGTAATAAAAAATGCCTTTCATTAAACTCCTACCCCTTCTCTGGGCCCAGGGCCTCAGCAAACTCCACAGGAACCAATTAGCCATAATTCACATGGCTCCTTTGGGAGTTACACGTGCAATGAGTTGTTGGCTATGGGACCAGAGGGTTTCCTGAGTCAGTCACTAATCTGCTTCAGGAACTTGAAATCGAGACGGGGGCACAGCGTATGAAAAGTGGAAATTCCAGTTAATGTTGTAAAAGCTTAACATCTGGATGGTGGAGGGGTTGTTTGTTTTTTCCTTTTCAGCTGCACAGTTTTGGTGGCCTGTAGACATATGCTTACGGGGCTACACATGGAGCCCCACTGTGATATTCACCCTCCTCTGTTACCTACCCCTCTGCAAATGACTTTCGAATGTGAACGTTCACCACTGCACACTGTGAAAAGCTGTAATCTGTTCTCTCTCTGGAGAGCTGCCAGTTCTAGCCAATAGCTCAGGTGAGAAGCAGATGGCAGCTCTGTGGGCCACCCCAGCGGGAAATTGCTTCTATGCCACGGGTAACTTGGTGTGAGTGGCACCACTGAGAAAGCTGGGGAACGACGACTGGGTGTCCAAGAAGAAAGAACTAAAATGGGACAGAAATCTGCAAGCAATTTCGTGAGCAGTGCTGACTGGGTGATAGGGACACTAACGCTTCGTCGAACTCAGGTCTAGTAACCGCCACAGTGGCCTCACCTTGCCAGCATAGTGCTGAATGCCAAAGCACAGCTCCACTCCTTTGGGCCGCCAGAAGTATTTGCATCGCAGATGGTCTTCGCATTTGTCTGTGTGGACGTGCATGTTGGAAAGTTACAATATGAATGATTTCTTTTTCCAAACAAAAACACTCTTAAGCCATGAAAGACTCAGACTAAAGGCTCTCAGACAAGCCTGGTACTACCACTGTGGGTACAAGCATGCAGAGAGATCACCCATAGGGGTGGGTGTTCATGATCTGGACTTTGCTGAGTTGCTTAGGGTTGGTTTCAGTGTTAGGCTGCACCCCACATCACACGTTCTCCTGCTGTCACTAAAGACTCCTGGTGTGGACATTAATGACACCTGCCAAGTTGCTTAAGATCCCTGAGGTTAGCAGTGGGAGGCAGACTACCCTGGCTTAAACCCACCTTGGAAACTTGCGATGAGATTGTAGATAAAAGGAAACCACAGAGCATGGCCATTTCCCACGGATCCGCTTTCCGTCTGGGGAAAAGGCTTCACACTTGCTGTTCCTTCCTCAACAAACAATGCTTGCCCTGTCGTGGTTGTCACTGAGAGCCTACCAGGTGTGGATCTGTGCTGAGCACTAACGGGATGCGAGGACTGGGGCATCTCACTGTCTAAGGGAGGGACAAAGGAGCGAGGAGCACAGGAAACTCGAGCATCAGGTTGAGAGCAACAGAGGGGAAGAAACGAGGGCCTCTGGGCCGGGAGGAGGTGTCCTGTCTTCCTCCCCTGACCCAGGGGATGTAAAGAAGACAAAACTAGCCGGCCGGTCCAGGATGGAAAGGAAGGGAGGAATCTGCACTAACCTGGGCTAGAGGTAGATGGGCTCCAGGCAAAGGCAAAAGACAGGGACACCAAAGACAAGGGGGCCGGCACTGGCTCTGGGCAACAAGGGAGAGGAAGCTGGAAAACCGATGTCGGCTCGGGGTGATGACGTTTGTGATAGCAGCAACGGGAAAGTGGGAGGGGTTTAGGGATGATAATGGGTTTAAGACACAAATTCTGCCAGAACATTTGAGTTCAATCAAAAACAGGGTGTCTACTTTTATAATCTGTCAGGTAGCCAAAAGCCTGTAAGGTAAACCCACCCACGCACACTCGGGATGACATGAACAAGTTCTGCTCTGTGTGTGTGTGCGTGTGTGCCTTTGGTCCCAAAGGTACCCACCAACCAAGGTCTGGTCAGTTGCTTGGGGAAACCGGCTCTCCTCATCCAAAAGTGCAAGCAGGCCCAGGGGTTTCTGGAGGAACATGTCCAGGAGAGGCCGATTGTCCTCATACTCCACGGGCACCGCATCGATGCCCTCGCTCTGATACTCCACCTGCAGGGAGACACACTGTGGCTCTCTCCAGTCCGGAACAGGCCTGCCAACCACCAGGAGACCTAGCATCGACTCTCTGGCTCTGACAACATCGAAGGCCTGTGTGATCACGTGTGCGGTGAAGGACTGGTCTGCGTATCACACCACTGAAGCTGTGCAACAGCTGTCTCCTACACACAGACTCAGAAGCTCTTCATTTAGAAATGAACCTAGAAAGGAAGTGAACCTGGAAAGAAAGCCATTTGGGTGACACAGAACACAGACTCCTACCCTTTGCCAGGGAATCACCAAGGGCTGGGAAACTGGGGGGGAAAAAAACCACCCTCTGGATTCCCCAGGGAAATAAATGGAAGGTGCCGGGGCTGAAACAAGGGCCATGAATGACTGTGTAGGGCAGCTCCAGGGATGGAATCAATACCAGTATTTTTACTCCACATCTGGTTGATCGCATCACAGGGTAGTCTGTGTGTCTGCGTTAAGACAGTAGCCCTGCATCCATGGGGCTTGAGCAGACTGTTTTGCTACTGCAGCTCCTTCATACAAAAGGGAGTCTTGGGGTTTAAGTAAGGATTTGGGTGGAGCAGACTCTACTTCACAAGCTGTGGTCACAGGGAAAGCGCCTGAGCCCTTGGGCCCAGCAGCTTCTTGCTCTGCTTTAAGTGTCATGAAACACAGAGGGGAAAGACTTCCATTTCTAGGAAACTGAGACCAGATCTTACTCCTCCCTGGAATCGCCCCTAGTTCCTGTAGGATCGGGCACACAGGATCGGGATGGCCAGCACAGGAGCAAGGGACCCATGTCCCGAATTCGAGAGCATCCTGTGACGTACGGCACAGTCATGGATCGTTTTTGTAAAACAAAGTAGAAGACAAGGGGGCGATGGACCTGAAAGAGTTTCAGAGCAAGATTTAAACAGTTGGCTTGTCACAGCCCCACTCCTGTGGAGAAATGCATCCTTCAGCAGCACTCAGCACCTCTTCTGCTCCAGACTGAATCTAGAGTGTGGATGTACTTTGACGGCACGCCTCGCCAGCGGTTTTCCTCCCATCTTCGACCTGCTGTGTTAGCCTACAGGGTTCTGGGAGCCACCTCTGCCCTCCCGTGTGCACTTAGCTGCTTCACAGTCCCCGCTGACCTGCTCAAGAGCAAAAACGTGCTGATTGAAGTAGTACTGGATCTGCTCGTTGGCGATGTTGATACAGAGCTGCTCAAAGGAATTCCTCTGAAAGTTCTCGAACCCGAAGATATCCAGGATCCCCACGTTCATTCCGTCCTCCGCGTGACTGAATGAGAGATAAGAGGAAGCCTCTTTGGAGAAGGAACACCCCCGATGAGAACAAACGTGCCCCAAGGTCCTCTCGCCCCTACACCCTGACCCCCCTTGTGGGAAGCTATCCCACCACCTCTGAGGGGAGACACAGCTCAGGCGGTAGGTGATGTGTTCCTTGTCTTTCAATGGTTTTCTTTCTTTCTTTTTTTTTTTTTTTAGCAGTAGAATCCTTTTACATCTCACTCAGAGCCCCTCACACAAAGCAGATGAAAGAGGATGCGCTCTGTGTGAAGGGGCTGAGGCACTGGCTCACGCATTCCTCCACCTCCCAACCCTCGAAGCTGAATGGGAATCGTGCTCTTCAGAATGTGACGGTGCCCGTTCTTCTACCCTACAGGGAAAGCACCAATGCTTGGGAAACAATTCTGAGTCCTCGGGGCAAGCAGCTTAAGCAGCCGTTCATAACGCAGGCAATCTGTGTATCGGAGCACCAGTTACAGGCCGGGCTGCTGCACTTCCGGTCCAGCTCCCTACTGGGAGAGCAGTGGAAGATGGCCTGGGTGCTTGGGCCCCTGCACCCACAGGGGAGACATGGAAGAAGCTCCTGGCTCTTGGCTTTAGCCTGGCCCAGCCCCAGGCATTGCAGTCATTTGGGGAGTGAACCAGCAGGTTGAAGATCCCCTCTAACCTCCACCCAGCTCTCCCCAAGGCACTCCCCTAAACACTTCTCCCATCACTCTGCTTTCCAAATGAATAAATCAACCTTTTTCTTTTTTAAACGTATTTATTTTTTAGGAAACTAAAGGGAAACCAAATAGAATACAAAAGAACAGAGGCAGAGTTGCAAATGGGCTCTGGCCACAGTCAAACTTTTTCTTTAACAACAACAACAAGGAGTTGTATAGACGTAATCATTTAAGAGTCTGTGCTTCAGAACTCTCCGTGAAGTGCCTCGCTTGACTCTAACAATGACACTATAAGGTTACCATTGCTCCCATCATACAGATGGGAAGGCAGTGACTTAGAACATGCAACTGATCGAGCTACAGAGCTTGGATGCAACCCGTTTGTCCAGGTCTCAGCCAAGTCTATTCTCCCTCTCTCTCTGATACAGATGCATTTATTTATTTGAACTGCAAAGTTACAGAGAGAGAGAGGGAGAGACAGAGAGAGACAGATCTTCCATCTGCTGGTTCATTCCCTAAATGGCTACAACTAGCCAAAGCCAGGAGCCTGGAACTCCACCTGGGTCTCACATGTGGGTGCAGGGGTCTAAGCACTTGGGCCATCTTTTGCTGCTTTCTCAGGCACATTAGCAGGGAGCTGGATCGGAAGCAGAGCAGCTTAACTGTTGCACCCCAAAGCTGGCCGCCAAGCCTATTCTCTTAAACACCATACTTGAGCGACTCCATCAGCCATTCCCCTCTCAGGCAGGAGCACATCGTGTTTAACAGCCCTGCTGCATCTTTTCCAGGAGAAGGCCTCAGAGTGTTGCTAAAGAAAGCCCCAGAGAGGACCAGATGCTTCTGTTGCAGACTCCAAGAGGCGCTGAGGCTGACGACAGCTCTCCCGAGGCCTCTGCTCTGGGGGTGAACTTGCCATATGTTTTTGTCCGGCTGCAGCAGTGTATTGATGCGATTCACAATCCAGCTGAACAGCCTCCCGTACAGGGCTTTGGCCATGGCGTCGCGGACGTCGGCAGCCCTGTCAACAGTGTTGGCGCGGACGATGGTCTCGCCGCGGGTGACCACGCAGTGGGAGGTCAGGGCTTCCTGCAGCTCTTCCGGGCTGATGCCCAGAACAGAGGCAGCTGGAAGGAAGAGTAGGGAAGACACTGGAACATGGGGCCACACCCACAGTCAGTCAGTGTTTATTCAGTATCCACTACGGGCAGCACTGCATGCTGGGTGCCTCAGAGTCAGAGACAAACAAGCCAGGGCCCTAACCTTCCAAAAAGCTCTTTGGAGCTGTTTGACCTAAGAAGAGGTGGCAGGCAGTGTTTTGGCAAGTAAAATGGAAGAAGAGCTACAGATCGCATTCCACTCCTAGAGCCACTAAGTACATTAGTCTGTGAGGGCCCTGAACAGGCTGCAGCTGAGCACAAAGAGGCTCATGACTTTAGAGAAATCAGCTTGCTTGTGTTTTATAGCTGAGGATTCTCACTCCTTAGGCCCGCATAACTACCTGCGGAACTTAAAAAGTGAACAGGTGTCTGCTTTCCCTCCTGCAGATGCAGTCTCTGGATTCTGAATGGGTTCCAACCCCACAAATACATAAATATATTTTTAACGTGTAGATGACTTTCAAAAGCAGCCAAGGTTGAGAACCACTGCCCACAGTTGTCTTCCATGGAGCTCCTTCCTGCAGAAACCCACTTGCAGCTCACGGGAGGAACGCTGACGTTCCAGGGGCACTGCTCAGTGAAAACATCAGAGCCAGGAGCAGGACGAGGATCAGCTGCCCTGTGTTCTAGGGTGTCTTGAAAAATGACCCAAGCGAAAGAAACTCATACTTCAGCTACCTAAGCGTCAATTACCATTTTCCAAAGCTTCGGCATCAGGCACCTCACTTTTGTCAGTCTGATGCTGAGAGGAGATGGCTGCAAACTCAATGTTTCCAATATTCAGAATTCCAGCCAGGATCCTGTATACCGAGTACACCTCCTAGACAGGATACCAAGAACCATGTTAGAAGATCATGGTCAATCAAATCCAGTGAACCACTAGGTCTGTGGTAGAAACTGCTAGGTGTCCACTTGGGTGCACTCTCCCCCTTTTCTTGGGTACACAGTCTGACGGATTTCCCAGCTCCCCAGCACTCAGGGTGGCTATGTAATTGAATTTTAACAATGGAGCCAGCAGAATGATGTAGGCCGTTTCTAGGTCCAGACTTCTGGGCAGAGCGCCTGCCTCCTGCAAGCTTGCTTTCTCACTCTGGCTGGCTGGAACTCTAGCAATCCAGCTCAACCACGCTGCTCAAGAGGATGCCGCTTCCAGCCCATAATCCCAGGCAGCGGGGTGGCTCTGTAAACTGAACCTCTTGCCTAGGAATGGTTATGCAAAAGACACCTGATCTTTGTTCTTTATGTCCTGTTTAGCTTTTACCCTAATGAATACCAGTTCCCAAATGCAGATACGGTCCTTTCTTCAAAGCAAAAGAGGAGATGTTCCCTGAACCTCTTTTGAATGTATCTTTTATGAATTAGTTGTGAGAACATTTACTGATGACTCATCAGATCATTTTGAACTTAAATGATGGAGTATTGTTATGAACAAAATCAGAGAATATTTTGAAAGAGTCACAAGAATTTATCTGTGATATAATAAGAAATATAAATTGGGTCTTTGTCCCTGTCCCTGGAGCTTTTAAGCCCTTGTAACTGTCTCTGTGACATGGGTGACAGGAGTCTTTTTTAGGTGCAACAAGTCCTTTTCAACCACATGTGAGTTTATGCTAAGAAGGTGACTCTTGGTGGGCCTCTAGGTGGATTCAGGATGGAGGTTGGTTGCCAAAGGAACCAACTACATGATTAGAAGATTGGAACTCTCACTTTCCACCCTGCTAACCTCTAGAAGGGGCAGGGGGCTGGAGCCTGAGTTAGTCGTCAGATTCTGCACAAGGAGTGTAACCTTTGTATTATGTGTTCTGGGATGCTGGGAGGGTGGTGTGCCCAGAAAGCATGGAAGTTCTGAGCCCTTTCCAACATGCCTTGCCCTGTGCATTTTTTCCAATGAGGTATTTCTAGGAAACCAGACATCAGAAAATCAAGTATTTTCCTGAATTCTATGAGCCATTCTAGCAAATTATCAAACCCAAGGAGGGGTCATGGGAGCCCCTAGTAGAGAGCTAGTCAGTGAGAAGTATAGGAGGCCTGGGACTTATGACTGGTGTCTGAAAGGGGGGAGGGGGAGTCCTGTGGGATTTGACACTAACTTCAGGTAGATAGTGTCAGAAGGCAGCTGGGGGCCAGTCCTGTGGTGTAGCAGGTAAAGCTGCCGCCTACAGTGCTAGCATCCCATATGGACACCGGTTCAAGTCCTGGCTGCTCCACTTCTGATCCAGCTCTCCGCTATGGCCTAGGAAAGTAGTAGAAGATGGCCCAAATCCTTGGACCCCTGCACCCACATGGGAGACCTAGAAGAAGCTCCTGGCTACTGGCTTTGGATCGGCTCGGCTCAGGCCATTGCAGCCATTTAGGGAGTGAGCCAGCAGATAGAAGACCTCTCTCTCTCCCTCCCTCCCCCCCCCCCATCCCGTCTCTGCTCCTTTGTAGCTCTGCATTTCAAATAAGTAAATAAATAAATAAAAATCATAAAAAGTAGAATGCAATTGAGCTATAGGATACCCAGGGAATTAGCTGTTGTCACAGGGAAAAATCCAACATATTGGTTTATTCAGAAACATGAATGAAAGCAGTTCACATGACTTTAAGTCCTATTTTTCTTTTAAGATTTATTTATTTACTTGAAAGTCAGAGTTACAGAGAGTGAGAAGGAGAGGCAGAGAGAGAGAGAGAGAGAGAGAGTCTTCCATCCACTGGTTCACTCCCCGATTGGTCATAATGGCAGGAGCTGCGCCAATCCGAAGCCAGGAACCAGGAGCTTCCTCTGGATCTCCCACAAAGGTGCAGGGGCCCAAGGACTTGGGTCATCTTTTACTGCTTTCCCAGGCCATAAGCAGAGAGCTGGATCGGAAGTGGAGTAGCCGGGACTTGAACCAGCGCCCATATGGGATGCCAGCACTGCAAACAGCAGCTTTACCTGCTACACCTCAGCGCCAGCCCCTAAGTCCTATTTTTATACTGAAGATTGAATACATAAGTAACAATAATGGTATGAAAATAAAGTATATTTATTTATTTAAAAATTCAGATTTTCAGGGCCAGCGTAGTGGCACAGTAAGTTAAGCCACTGCTTATAACACCAGTATCCCCTGCTGGAATGTCAGTTTGAGTCCTGGATACTCTGCTTCTGATCCAATTCCCTGCTATTGAACCTGGGAGGCAGTAGAAGGTGACCCAGATACTTGGGGCCCTGCCATCCATGGCTGTTGCAGACATTTGGGGAGTGAACCAGGAGGTAGAAGAAACTCATACTTGTTCTCTCTCTTTCTTTCTCTCTTCTTTTTCTGTCACTCTGCCTTTCATATAAATAAAATAAATCTTAAAAAAATCCTCAGATTTTCCACATATGAAACAATGAAATAAATAACCAGGAAATTTCTATATTTCATACTCATAGAGAAAAGCATTCCTACAAAAAATATTCTGGCAGTATTGTACAGTACAGTACTTGATTTAGTACTGTACATAGCAGCAACTAATAGTAACTGTCATTAGACCATTGATAAGACATTGTCCCCCAAACTGAGCCTTCCTGTAAACATTTCTCAGTAAAGCCAAAGAACTGAACACAGACTGTAATAGTGACATCTGCTGGATACCCGATAATGCTACAAAGACAAATGATGATTTTAAGCTGGCTTCTACCGTAGATAAATATTGTTCTCCCAACTTCTAAATCAAAGGCAACATGTCATGTTTCTAACTTCAAGAATCACTGTTTAATCACACAACTTAAAAGTGGCTAAGGAGAACAGCTACCAAGTGGGTTCTCCGGGACTCGCCTGGATTTAACATGACAGCGTCTCATTACCTTGATCAATACAGGGAGAGTCTCGCTGAATGCATCAGCACCTGCCCCAGAGACAGATTCCACAGGGTCCAACGGGCTCCCTAGCAGTGAGCTCTACAGCTGCGATTTCTATATCCGGTTATCTCAAGAGGTTATCTAACACACTCAGTACTCTTAGGAAAAAAAAAAACAAGTATTTCCTCTAATTAAAACACGTACACACATTCCTCACACATTACATTACAAGAAACAAAACCTCCCAAATGAAGGCTTCCAGGCATTGCAGCACTGGGATAATTCCCAGTGGGATAATTCCCAAAGGAAACAGCTGTCAGAGGGCATACCCTCGAGACCAGCATCTTGCCCCACTGCTTCTCTGGCAATATCCTCTTCAACGTGATGCCAGGCAGTCATTTAAAGTGGAAAACTGCCCATGACCTTGAGTGAAGACTTACAGGTATGAGCACTGTGAGTCACAAAAGCTCATGGTGGGAAGGGCCTCCTACCTTGGTTCAGTGAGATGACGAGGCAGGGGGTATGCTCCCCTTACTAGGGAGTTACTAGCTTTGGGTGCTTCCCTAGGCTTTATTTCTGGGGTCTTCTCCCCACCTGACTCCTTTAGCCCTACTCAGGGTTAATCAGTTCTTCTTTTCTAACCGAGGAGCCGACTCCATCTCTGTGTTCAGGTCAAAACCTCACCTAAACAGTCACGGTAGAGTTGAATCAGTTTTGTGTCCACCCATGGGATACTCTTTCATCTCCAAAACTTCTTGATCCAATTTCTCTCCACCAACAGCCTGGAGGGCTTCCTCCCCTTGCCCATTTGTTCTTCCCTCATCTCCAGCTGTGGAGCCTCTCCCATACTCTCTGCCTTTTTCTCACCATGCTGCTCTCCCCTTTTATTCCCCTCCACTTTCCAGCTTCCTAGGTGATAAATGGAACTGCCTTCCCCCAGTAAGAAATCTCATCATGATAACTGTAACTCCATGGTCTTGGCTCAGTGTCTCCATCAACGCCCCACTGCAGGAATGTATGCTCTCTGCTTCTGTTCTCCTTTTCTCATGATGTCGGCGTGCCCTACAGAGATGGGGCTGGGGCCAAGGTGAAAGCCAGGCAGCAGCTTGGTTTTCTCTGTCAGCTACTGCAGATCTAAGGAAATCACCCTGGCCTGGCTCCCAGGTCGCTGTCTCCCCTCCACCTCCCTAGGAATTTACTTCCCTACCCAGGCTCATGTCACCTTTTTTTCTTTTCTCTAAGTCTCTTTAGGTTGTCACCAGTTCTACCCTAAATACTCCATTAGGACAAGATAAAAGGCCTTCACCTATAGGCTCTGTCCCAACACCCATACCCAGTTTCTTTTCGCAAAGGTTCATAGTATTTGGCATCTTAAAAGTCAATGGTGGAGCTGGCGCTGTGGCCTAGTGGATAAAGCCACCACCTACAGTGCTGGCATCCCATACAGCACCGGTTTGAGTACTGGCTACTCCACTTCTGATCCAGCTCCCTCTTTTGCCTGGGAAAGCAGTAGAAGATGGCCCAAGTCCTTGGGCCCCTGCACCTGTGTGGGAGACCTGGAAGAAGCTCCTGGCTCCTGGCTCCTGGCTCCAGATAGATACAGTTCCGGCCATGGAGGCCATTTCAGGGGTAAACCAGCAGATGGAAGACTTTCTCTTTCTCTCTCTCTCTCTCTTCTCTCTCTTCTCTCTTTTCTCTCTCCCTCCCTCTCCCTCTCCCTGCCTCTCTGTAACTCTGCCTTTCAAATAAAATAAAATGAATCTTTAAAAAAAGTCAGTGGCTTCACATAGTCTGCCATTTGGATACTGGAAATTCTCAAGGGCCCCCAGGTTACATTCAATCTCCCTTCACTATTCATAATCTATTGTGAAGAAGGGGAAGACTCTGCACCCTGACCTCAAAGGTTCCTCTCTAAACTCTGCATCCAGGGATCTGCAAGGAATGTCCAGTCTTGGCTGTCACATAAACTTTCATGTAGTATTAAATAGAAACCATCCAAAACTCAAATTATTGAATGTTATGATCATCGCTACATCAGCAAGACAAGCATAATGGTAAACAAACAATGTGGTTTGGCTCCAGAAACAGGAATCAAAAAACTTATGTTCACAATAGGTTTAAGGTTAACTCCCCCAATTTCCACAAGGAGCCCTATCATTAGTGGGAGACTCCTTCCTCCTGGGATGTTTCTCTACAATAAACACAGGGTCAAGTGTTCTTTCAGACACTTTTGGCTGGTGTCCCAGAATTAAAATCCATCCTCCTGAGTCCATACTAAGATTTGCCACTCATAATGTTGCTGTAAGGATTTGGGAGAAACCAAAGGGATTCCTTCAGGGAACCAGTGACATTATAAGAAAAGACAGGATGGGGCCGGGGCCGGGGCCGGGGCTCACTTGGCTAATCCTCCACCTGAGGCACCGGCATCCCATATGGGTGCCAGATTCTAGTCCCGGTTGCTCTCTTCCAGTCCAGCTCTCTACTGTGGCCCAGGAAGGCAGTGGAGCATGGCCCAAGTGCTTGGGCCCCTGTACCCAGGCCCTGGGAGACCAGGAAGAAGCACCTGGCTCTTCCAGGTACAGATAGGTGCAGCGCCGGCTGTAGCGGCCATTTGGGAGGTGAACTAATGGAAGGAAGACCTTTCTATCTCTCTCTCTCTCTCTCTCTCTCTCTCTCACTGTCTATAACTCTACCTGTCAAATAAATTTAAAACAAGAAAAGACAGGAAACATAATTTTGATTGAATTGGCCAGTACGCTGAAGCTGTGTCTAGAAAAATCTGCCAGAAAAACTTACAAGAAAGGTCTGTTCTATCAGTTACTTGGCATCTACTGCCTGACTACATTCAACTAATGTCTAAAGTCCGACATGCTACTTTTTGTCTGCAAACAGAAAGACAACTCAGTTAATTCAGCAAAACAGGTTATCTTCAGAGACATGAGAGGACTTCAAAAAGTTGGTGGAAAATGGGATTAAAAAATAAGTTTATTTTGAAACAAAAAGTTGAAATCCATGCAAGCTTTTTCAGAATATACATTTCCATGAACTTTCTGAAGATTCCTTAGATAACCACAACATTTGGAGCCAGAGAGATGAGATCCAACCTTTTCCTTCCATTTCCAAAGTTGCTAATTGACAAAAGTTGGTTTACTTTCACTACGAATGGATGTGGGGACATGGTGAAGACATGCACATATGCATACCACTGCATTCTGGTTCTTCATTTAACAGTCGGGCACAGCCTTGAGAAGGTTCACCAGCTTTTAGGCTTGTTCTCACATTCATTCATATACTCTTCCATCCTGCTGTATTTCTATTGTATTCTCCCCAACAGGGGTTAGAGATGGCTCACTTTAAGGACACACACTTGACACACTGGATTTCTTCTGTTTTAAAATTTTGTTGTCTTAAAGCAGATAGCATCTGTTTTATGATTAGCAGTACATTTCTATTATTAGACAATACTACTATATAACTTCCTGTAGGGCTAAGACCAATTTTTTTTCCAGTTAATCTAGAACCATCTTTGTTTTCATTGAAAGTAAAATATTATTAATCCTATGGCATGACCCCTAAGGTTCCTGGACACTTTGATGTGACCTATGTGACTTTCAGTGGCTTTGCTGCCATCTCTACCACCTTTTGATTCTTCCTTTGATACAAATCAGCTCTGTAAGGTAATAACCATCCAGGACCTTTATGCTGGAGCCTATTTAATTGCTCTCCTCCAAGGAGCCATTGCTCTTCTCTAAGGAGCCAAGGGAAAACTATTTCTATTTTTATCTGACCTTTGGGATTTTCCACTGTCTTGTCAGTTTAAAGTCTGTAGGAGGCTGGCAGAGAAAATTAACAGCTGGCAAGAAAAAGGAAAGGTATGATTATGACTAACATCAACTGTGCTGGGAAGAGAAGAGCTAGCCAAACGCATTGGATTACAGAAGTCATCCTTTATCCGAGTGGCTGTCCCAGGGTAACCAGAATATTCCGTAATCTAATCCCAGAAGATTTAACACTCTCAACCACCTCCTAGTCATTTACCTCTTTTGTTGGAAAAGCTAAAGCAGCTATATATTTTGCAAAATTGATGGCATATGAAGCCCAGACACTATGACATAATGTATCACAGAATAATATTTGAGCCTAGGGTTATAAATAGTCTGTCATCCCTGCATATATTTAATAGAGACAGCCTGTATCTAGTATGATAAGAGTAGTACAGTACTTAGAGCTATTGTGAATAATGTGCAACTGTGTCCCGTGGAGAAGGAAGTGACTACAAGAAAGTGGAAGGGTTTTAATTAATTTGTCAAGGAGCACAAAGGGCTACTTGCATTCATAAATTCCTGTGGCTTGAGTGGAACCTACATCTTCCCATACTCCTCTTCACAACTCACTTTAATGGTTGGAAGGACCAACTCTAAAAGGGCAGTATTGTTTAGGTGCTTGTTACTCTAGCCATGGTCAGTGGACGACAATGACAACAATTCATAGGCACGTGGTCCTTACAACAATGCTTCTCCCACCTTATGCTCACCTGGGCATCTTGTCAAAGGCAGATCTGATTCAGTCACTTGTAGGTAGGCCTGAGAGTCTGCATTTCTGATAAGCTCTCAGGTGGCGGCCATGTTTCCTGTCCTTGGACCATGATTTGAGTAGGAAGACCTCATAGCAAGCGTGCTGCCCCAAGTTCAAACATCCACATCTCCACTCTTCTCATTCTTAGTACTTTTTTCTTTCTCTCTTAATGATCACTTACCTTGTCAGTGAACCCTATAATCCTGAAGCAATGCTGAATTGCTTCAAATTGTCTTCGGTAAGACTCCTTGGAAGTGATGTCATGCACCACACTTCCAGTTTCATCAGCGATGTACCTAAAGGAAGTGGACATCACCAAAAACCATGAGTGCTGACTTGGAAAATGGCACCTCAAATGCCAGGGCTGCCCCTTGGCAAGTTCCTTCTTCGCAATGGCTTTTCCTTTACAGTCTGAGACCTTGGGAGAATGAAGATACCTAGCTAAGTAAAATGGCTATAACTGAGCTTTTGAAGCTTATAGAAAATGCAAATGGGGAGATGTAGCACCTGCCACCTCATCCTGGGTGTTTCAGTTAAATGGGCCATGAGTTTCTAGTAAGGAAAACAGCTCCAATTACTTGTGAATTTGTCACTTGCTAATGGTACATTCATTAAAAATTAACAATGAAAATCCCCGACACTTACCTGGGAGGTTTTTCCTCAGGAAGCCTGAACTCAGAAAGCTTCTTTTGGTGATAAAGACCAGCATAAATATAGTAAAATATGTGAAAATTTTTCTCTCCTCTGAGAAAAGAAAGGGGGGAAAGATTTTTATTTACAACATACCCTGGGCTTCTCCACCCCAACTAATTTACAACATTTTCTTTTTGTGCAAAATGTTATTCCATAGCAAATTTGCATTTTCAGGCAATAAAATGTGCTACATCCCCATTGTAGAGTAGTAATGGTGATAGGATGCGCATGGTAATTATCACACGCTCCGCTCCGTTACTAAGCGCACTTAGCTTAACTATGAGCTGAAGGGAATTTTACAGATGAACATTTTCAAGCAGGACCCGGGTTATTCCAGGCCCCACATGCACGTATCTGTGCCATGGGCCTTCTAGAAGAAAGCTCTGTTGCTTCAGAGAGAGTGAAGGCCTAGGTTTGAGAGATCTGACAAGTCCCCTGCTCAACTGCAGCCAGCACTGGAAGGGGCCTGCCACATGCAGCAGGGGAGGGAGTGGAGTTGGTTCCAGAACTGAGACGGGCACGCTCCCTGGTTGGCAGAAGGGACGGAAGGGACATGCTCAAACACTGAATGGCAAGTGATATGGCCAACACATCTGAGAGTGTGGACAGTTTCTAATCTACTGTCATTGCTTTTTCATCAAGGTGTTAGTTACAACAGACCGGCGCTTTTCAATAACCGTCCCTCAGCACAGATGTGTGAAAGGCATTGCTCCAGACTCCCATCATTCCTCTGGAGGCAGACAGTCCCTTCTCTTGATACCCCTGCATTCTGGCAAACCCTCTCCTTGGCCAACCTGCCTCTGCGGAAGGAAAGGGATCTTCCTTCTCCCTGTGCCCCTCCTGGGGACATGGCCCCTACTCTTTTCTGAGTCTCCTCCTCTTCCTTGGGCTGTTCCTCCTGTCAAAGCTCTGCAGGTGCGTTCTCACCCCTGCTCCGTGTTCTAGATGCCACTCCTTTCCATTCCTCACTCACTGGTCCACTCAGCTCAGAAATCGGTTATTTTAAAAACTTTTTTATTTTTAACATGTTTTACTGTGTATATTCAGAGTATACTACAGGATATTATGGGATATATAAACATAGCTAAAAGGTTACTATTCAACTGCCACATGTATTGGGTGCCAATCATGGCAAGCACTGTGCCCAGTGCCTCGGACACTGGGCTGAGGTTGTTGGAGAATCCCTTCTAGGGGTGGAGTTGAAGGAAACTTATGACGAGGGCTTTGAAAAACAAGCCAGGGGCTGAGATGAAGAACACTGTTGAGGGATGAGGGGTATTTGTGCTAAGTCAAGGAAGGACTCACCAAGGAATCCACACAAGAGAAAGATGGAGCTGGAAGGAGCTACAGAGAGAAAGAGAAAAGCAGTCCAGAGAGACAGCACGGAGACTGAGCACAGTACTCGTACCCACACAGGACCAGAAGACGGCCAGTGAGAAGGGGGCAGGCGGGCATGGCAGCCCCCACAAGGCCTTGGTAGGCCAGACTGAGGGTTTGTTCATAAAGCAATGAGAATTTTTTGAAGTGTCTGAAGCTGGAGCTGGGGCACATGTTAGTGTGACAGGAATAGATGGGTTGAGAAATGTTCTCTCTGGCCACAGGATATGGAGAGCAAGAGTAGGCTGAGATGCACACTGTGGAGGAACCAGAAGACCATCCTGAAAGACTGAGGGCGGATGGCGAGGAACGGGCGCTGGCTCCCAGGTTTCTAAGATGAGCAGCCAGTGATGCTGAGGCAGGAGGGGGAACGTCTGGGCTGAAGATCACTGTTCTTTCACCTCTGTGGAATGTGCTGGCTTTGACTGCCACCTGCCACCCCCCACCTGCCGTAGTCCCGCCTTCCTGAAGTTCTGCAGCAAATACCTCTGGTTCTCAACTCTCCCAAGCTTTTCCCACTAACGTTTACCTGCCCCCAGCACAAATTCTCTGTGATTTTCACACTTTTATCTCAAGGAATGGCAAGGTTTTGTTGCGATCACAAATGTGCCCAGATCTTAGTGGCTGAACTCAGCAAGGGCAGACGTCTTGCCTACAGCACCTGTCCACGGTGGGTAGGCGGTGGGGCTGTGCTCACTGGAGTCACTGGCAGGCTGTGCAGAGGCAGCAGCCACCGTCTGACACTGACCTGGCTGTGAAGGATTACCATTAAATGCCCATTTGCTTACACCGGCTGTATGACCACACCCAGCTGCAAGGCGGCCAAGAAGGGGGACTCCACGAGCATGCCCCAAACAGGGCAAAATCACAAAGGCACTATAAACCCTGGCCCAGTCTTCTCTTGCTCTCATGGCAGCCGTGTGAGGTTGGCATCACTGTGCCCCTCTTGCATAGGAGGAAAGCAAGGTATGAGGGTATGTATGCCAGTGAGCCACACGGCAAGGTGAACAGTGCAACCAGGAGGAGGCACCTCCTCATGTTACACTTCACATTTCACTACAGGGCACTGTAGTTTCCATTCAGGCAGACAGAGCTCCCTAAACTTCACAACTCAGAAAATTCAATCAGGAAGCCACAGGGAAGCTTTAATACCTCTCGCTCTTTCTGTTCCTTGTTAGAGTTCATGGTAGTGCCCAGTGGGTGAGGATGCAGCAAGTGCACAGTGGAGGAACTTGCTTCGGGTCTTAACCAAGGACAAGACCTGTGCAATCTACTTGCGCGGTATCCTTCAGACTCGCCAGCTTCTCTGCATCTCACTGCTGCCACCTGAGTCCAGGCCCACAGTCGGAGCCATGGGGACTCGGGCTACAGCCTAACAGCCTCAAGCCAATTGCTCCTGCATCTCCCTCTTGGGCCCACTGACCCTACTGCTGTCATTTCACAAGGCAACGTCCTGCATGACAGGGTCCCAGTTCCATCTTTGCCACTCTCTGTCTCTCTGCTCCTGTGCCCACCGCATGGCCAGCTCTAGTGACCCCCAGAGCCCCTCCTTCTCCTGGACTGGGGGTGTGCCCCTCCTCCCTCCTGTTTCCCCATCATGGTACCTTACATGGCTTCCTGGACTCATCACAATGAAGTTTATTTGTTGACTGCCTGTGATCCTCCCGTCCCGTCCTTACCACCCACACACTCCCGGCTCTGTGAGGACAGGGCCCCTGCCTATTCTGTTTACTCCTGCAATCCAGCAGAGAGCTCCGCATCGGCACAGAGCAGGCATTCAACAGGGCGTGGGTACCCGTGCATGCAGCCCTGCTCCCAAGGGACTCCGCTATCCTACAATAACATGAGTAATATAAGGATGAGGGACTAACACTCTGATAGCATGTTCCAGGCCAAGTCTTCCTTTAAGTCATTTTGTATAAATTAACTCATCAATCCTCACAACAACCCATGAGGTGGGTACTAGTAGCACCTCCATTTCATAGCTGAGGCACAGAGAGGATTAGTAACGTGCTCCAGGGCACACAGAAAATGTCAGAGAGGGCATCTGAACCAGTGCCAAGTTCATGCTACTGATTACTATTACTATACTACTCTTTTTTTTTTTTTTTTTAAGATTTTATTTATTTGAAAGACAGAGTTACAGAGAGAGGTAGAGACAGAGAAAGAGGTCTTCCATCTGCTGGTTCACTCCCCAGATGGCCGCAACGGCCGGAGCTGCGCCTATCCGAAGCCAGGAGCCAGGTGCTTCTTCCAGGTCTCCCACATGGGTCCAGGGGCCCAAGGACTTGGGCCATCTTCTACTGCTTTCCCAGGCCATAACAGAGAGCTGGATCAGAAGAGGAACAGCTGGGACTAGAACCGGCGCCCATATGGGATGCCTGCACTTCAGACCAGGGCTTTAACCCTCTGTGCCACAATGCCAGCCCCATATACTATTCTTCTTAAAACAGAATAATTGTTATTTTATCTGTCTTTCAACCCAGGTTAAATACTAACGTGTAGAATATTCCCAGTGCTTTTACTTCGATAAGTTTAATTCTAAAAGAACTAACTAGTGATTTTTCCAAGCGTCTGCAATGCTGTTAAATTGTATCTGATACACCTGCAGGCATACCTATCGCTAAAACACTCCACTCCAACTTTATGTACCCTCCCCCTTAGTATCCTGTGCTTAAGTAATTCCTTATTCTTGAAGGTTACAGGAATCCTAAGAACAGGGGTGGAAATGGAACCATTAGAATTCCTAGTTTATACTGCATCCCAGTTTATACTGCAGAGCAAAACCAGAATAATAAATTGGGGCACCTACGCTGCCTGTTTTATAACTCTGGATTTTTCAAGGAGATATTCAGAGATCCTTGCCCCCATCACAACTCCGGTTGGTGTAAACATCATTTCCAGATATTTGCCAAAACGGCTGGAGTTGTCATTGATGACAGTGCACGCGTTCCCAAAGGCTTCCACCAGGGGGTTCACCTGCAGAATCTTCTCTCTCAAGGTCTGGTTGTTGGCCTACAGTAAACAGAGAACAGTCAAGAGAGCCACCAGAACTACAACTCCAGCACCCCTCCTTTGCCCACCAAAGTGCACACTGTCCTGTATGAAGAGCTCCACTTGGGGGAATGAGCACCAACCATCAGCATCCTTCTCAGATGAGCAACAACACAAGTGCAAATGAATTAGCTTAGTCTAGACTGGGACAGCAGTTTTGAAATCTAGCTGCACTTCATTTAAAATCATTGACATATTAAAGACCTAAATACTTTAGGAAGAATTTTAAATAGAGATCCTATAACTTTTCTTACTCGTTATAATATTCAATAAATTCTATCTATAAAATATTCCTTACACAGAAAGTTAAAGACTGCATGTTCTCCCTTATATGTGAGAGCCAAGATCAAAAAAAAAAAGAAGAAGAAAAAAAATTAAAAAAAAAAAGAAAGAAAGAAATATCTGTATGTATTCAGTATTGTTGCAAACAGAGTTTTGTGAAACTTGGTCTTTATACCTTTGTCAAACCAATGGTTAAAAATGTTATACCACTATAGTTTTAATGATCTGTGATTACTTTAAAATTTACTGTATCTGGGTGGAATGGTCATTTTTCCATTCATTTATTGTTGATAGCCATTGTCTATATTCCCACTAAAATGGGTCTTTTTGCTTTTCACTTGTTAAACTTATTTGGCAAAGCATAAAGCCTTTTTACTATAATGTAAATTTAAAATATGTTATTTCAAAAACTAAAACAGAAAAGAAAGAAAGGGAGAGGGAAGTAGGTGGGAGGAAGAGCAAGAGAAGGCGGGAGGCAGGGAAGAAGGGGATATCATGCCATTCTTAAAATTTTATCTATGAACTACATTGAATTTTAAAAAACTGACTAAAACTTAAAAAAAGATAATTTAATATTCCTTAAATTCTTTCTTAATCACATAGTACACTATATCTTAGTATAACTAACCACCAGTATATGTCTGAAATCATTCATTCAACGTCCGTCTCACCTTGCTGAAAACGTTCATGGCCCTCAACTCTTGCTAATTTCCATTCCTTTCCCGTTTCCCTCAACCTTTTATTTCCCATCCCTTTAATCACCATCGTGGCTGTCTCTCATCCTGTCCTAGTATTTAACCACCTTTAATACTTAATGGCTAAATGTCTCTATTACATTGCAAACACAAAAAGTTAATTGCCGATAATCTAGCAAACCCATGCTGGCATTATTTTCCTCCCCACATGGAAGAAGGATGGCATACTGCCATCCTAAGAGGCCTCACTACCAGGAGGCAAACCTAAGAAAGATGGAATGTTTTTATATGACCGCTAATAAAAAGCAGCACACATCATTTACAAAATACACAGCTACTCTCTATGCAGGAACTTCTAGCCACCCCTCCATAAAGTAGGTCAGGCAATACCTTTCCCAAGAAAGTCAAGTGCTGAACAATCAGGTGGGCACTTTCTGTCTTCCCAGAGCCACTTTCTCCACTGATGACGATACACTGACAAAGAAAAAGAGAGTGGCAAGTGGAGAACAGCACAGAAATGGTGCGTGTGTTCAGCTGTGGTTTTCACAGAAACATCCGTTATACACCTTCATATTTCACTGAGCCATTTCTCGGCGGGGTCTTTCCTCTCCTATTCGGGGAGAGCTGCATCAGGCTTTGGTGCAGCTGCTTGTGTTTGAGTTGCATAGATGTGACAGCATCTCCTTAACCAACCTCCTACCAGAGGTTTTTCTCTTTTATTATAAACAGTATTGCGATGAATGACCCTCCACACAGGCCATTCTATCTACATGCAGGATCATCTGCAGAATAAATTTCTAGGGATGGGGATACATTTGTAGATTTGGTAGATCCTACCATATGATTTCCTGAGGACTGTACCAATACAAAAATGTGCCTGCTCCCCTATAGCATCACCAACAGAGCACTCTGGGTTTTGGTCAGTCTGATAAGAAAGAATGATACCCCCTTGCATTTTTTGTATTATGAGTGAGGTTGGGCATCTTTCCAAAGGCTTCAGGTCAATTGTATTTTCTTTTTTGTGACCTGCTCACATCTCTTGGCTATTTCTTAATGGTACTCATATTGTTGATTGTTTTATCATTCATCTCTAGGCATACCTTATGGAAAGAGAAAATTAGGGGGTGTGGAATAATACAAATTACATATTTAGTCATTATCTCTGGTTCATGGCACAGAGCCCTGAAGACCTGAGAATATCCTGAATGATGGGAGGAATGGGAGGATCTTCTGGAATTCCCAAGGAGTCCCATTCAACCACAACTGGAGGCTACAGCTAACAAGGCGGTTTGAGGTGGGACCCCTAGACAGCTTCCTGATGGGGGCTACTCATTAGAGGAACCAAACACATGACAAGATGGAAAATGTATGAGGAAAGTGTATGGTTAACTTGTATTGAGTTTAAACTTTATTCGGTCTTACCCAATACTTCATAATTTCTCAGCAATTATATGGTGGGGTACACAGTGCACCCATGTACAATTTCATATAAAAAAGATTAGGAAACTCGGAGACCTTAATGGGAAGGAATTTCAATTATGCCTTCTATATTCTGGTTTTCTAGTAATTTCAGAAACTGAAATGTTATATATTTGAAAGGCAGAGAGAGATAGAGATACAGACAGAGATCTATCCTGTGCTGGTTCACTCTGAAATGCCCACAACAACTGATGACGATACACTGACAAAGATTGGATTAGGACAAAGACTGGATTAGGACACAACTGGGAGCTGGGAACTCAATCCAGGTTTCCCACATGAGTGGCAGGGACACAGCCACTTGGGTTATCATCTACTATCTCTGAGGGTGCACATTAGCAGGAAGCTAGAATGGAGAGTGGAGCCAGGACTCAAACCCAGGTTCCCTATTATGGGATGTAGGTGTATCAAGCGGCACCAAGTGCCAGCTCCTACATCCTGTTTTCATTACAATTTTTGCCATGTAATCAGGTTGTACTTGCTCTCTGTTCTCATTATATTCATATTTGAAATAGCTTTATTACATTTTATCAAAGGAGACACATGGTCTTGATGTGAATGTTGTTCATTTCCTGGAAAGGGTTTTTGCATTCTGGCGCTCCTAGGGCTTTATCAGTATTGCAGGTTCATTACCCATTTCCTTAGTTCAGCATCAGCAAGCGAATGTGAGGGTTTCAGAAAGACTTACAGGCTGAAGAGGAAGACACAATCTGTCTTACTGTGGGCCTTGTTAGGAGAGGAAGGGGAGTCCTTACCTGGTCTTTGCTGAAAGTAACCATGCACTGGTAAGCAGCGTCGGCTGATGCAAATATGTGGGGGGGATTTGAGGCACGTTTCACCCCATGATAAAGCCTGGAAAACTGAAGAAAAATATAACCACTTTGAAGAGAACTCCCAATGCTCCCCTGGACTGTCTGTTGTTCCATCATCTGTTGCTCATGAAACCAAGACTTAGCCACCTACTAGGGGACCTGGTGCATAAGCTCTAGAGTTGGGGTACAGGCTCTGGAGTTTGGAGTTAAAGTTCAAATCCTAGAGCTGCATTTATTGGTTTCATGAACTTGTGAAAAGGAGTTAACTTCTCTGTTAACTTCTGCTAAGTCTCCTTGTCTGCCAGCTGGACCTCCTCTTGGCACCTGTCTCCCAGGGCTGTGACCCAGGGCCTGGCTTATAGGAAGTGGTCACTTATCGTTAGCTATTATTGTAGCAGTTGCCTTGTAAAGTTACCGCATTATTTTCCGCTCTTTGCAGCCTACTCCTCCAGGGTGGCATGATTTTATTCTCACTTTTTCCTTCCTGCCCTTTGCCCTTGTGATCTTGGAGTTCCTAACAAGGAGCAGTATGCTCTTCAAGCATCCCTTACCTGTGGAGAGTATATGCTTAGATTCTGGAAGGGGTTTAAGGCAATTAAGATGTCTCCAACATATGTGTAAATCAGCAAGTCTGCATAGCGCTTCTGCAGCTGATGAACAATTGTATCCTACGAGAAACACAAATGATACCGGGCTCAACATTTCTAATCAAGGGAGAGAGTCTAAAAATGACAATGAATTTATTCTTGCAGGAATTTATTTCTCTCAAAGATTAGTCTATGTAAATCATACAGTGACCCTGATGTACCAAAATATCTAAAATGATACAGATACTTACCTTGAAAAAAAAAAATTTAGGAATATACTGAAAGCATTGGGACATGCTGAAGGGCATTGAGATCTTTAACAAAGGTTTCATTTGTTACTGTAAAAAAAAATTGCCTCACCTGCTCAAAATGTTCTGTGTAGAATTTGATTTCTTGGGCTGTTCCTATTGATAATCCAGACAAAACATTACCTTCATTTCTGAAAGTATTACACTTAAAATCTAGGTGGCAGGAATATTGAACTGAAGGCTTTTATGACACGTTACTGATGCTGGCATTGAAGCTAAAGGTCCCCAGAGTTACAGTCAGCAGAAGCAGAGCCAGTGCAATTAACAGCTCTATTAAACATGCATACTTTAAATGCGATTATCACAGCCTTCAATTTAAAATTCAAGCCATATTAACTTCACTATTTCCCTACATCAAGTGGCTCTTCATGAAGAACAACCAACTGTCTTAAGGGTTAACTGAAATTTTTTGTTAAACAGAAAATAAATTCAGCTGAGAGAATCTATCAAGGCTTAGGATACAAAGGGTTTAACAAAAAAAATATACATTTAAGTCCTGTTGTCTTCTCCATTCTAGGAACTATACATGAACACAACATGGGATTGTAGTCCCAGCAAACGACTGCACCCTGAGCATCACCCCTTGGCTATACCAACAGCTAAATTTCCAAATGACCTTGGGAGAACAAGGTCCACAAAAGGAAGTTCATACCATTCACATAAAACAAATGCTCAACAAGAGTTGTCCACTAAATGTCCAGTACCTCATCCAGAGCCTCCAGATTGACCAAATCGTCCTCCAAGCAGTATTTTTCACCATCCTGCACATGATAGGGTCGTCTGGTATGCATCCTTTCATGCCTACAAAGGTAGCAGGAGACCAGTAGCAGCAAGACAGGAAGTAACATAGCAGAAAGTGGGCAATGAGGATGTTCACAGCCTTATCCCACAACGCATCCAAAGACTTTGGAAACAGAGACAGGAAAAGCAAGTCCAGTCCAGGCCCACAAGCTCTCTGTGTCTCTGTGGATCTATCTGGGAACAGCGACCTCCAGAATCCGAGTCTCCCTGTTGCCACATGAGGAGTGTTACCAAATGGGCCCATCTAACACATGCAAGTAGATTTACTTTTCTTAAATGACAGCTCCAAACTTCCAGGAATACATATCTCCTACCTTTTTCATCTCAGTGTCAGGCATACAGTCCTCAATGGAATATTGTCATAAGTGCTCTACCTCCCTCAGGGTCCCCTTACCCCACCCACCAGCACCACTTCCAACTTTTTCCCATATATTTTAAAACTACAGAAGACTTCAGAGAATATTATAGCAAATGCCAAATAACTGATCATCATTTATAGTTTATTCTATTTGCTTATCTGAAATCCCTCATGACCCTTGTCCTACCCCATTCTCTTCTGATGAGATGACCACTGTTTGATGAGTATCCCCCAGTCCATTCTAAAATACTGGTCATATGCATATGAGCAATATATAGGTTCTGCATGGCTAATTATAAAAATGATACCATAATGTAGGTTTCATCCTGAAAATTTGCTTTTTGCACTCAACATTAGGACTTTTGTTTTTTAAAAAAGATGTATTTATTTGTTTGAAAGGCAGAGAGAGAAAGAGAAGGGGGAGGGAGGCAGGGAGGGAGAGGGGGAGAAGGGGAGAGGAGGAGAGAAAGGGAGAGAGAGAGAAAGAGATCTTCCATCCACTGATTCTCTCCCCAAATGGCCAAGGATAGGTCAGGACTTAGAACCAGGGGCTTCTTCCAGGTCTCCCACATGGGTGGCAGGGGCTCAAGGACTTAGGCCATCTTCTGCTGCTCTCCCAGGAGCATCAGCAGGGAGCCGGATTGCAAGTGAAGCAGCCAGAACTTGAACCAGCACTCACATGCAATGCCAGCACTGAAGGCAGCAGCTTAACCTTCTACACCATAGTGCTGGCCCCAACATTATGACTTTTTAAACTATCTACCTACATAGTCCAGTCACTTTATGTACTGGGTAATATTGTAACTTATGACTGTGGACCAACTCATTTACCCAGACCTGTAACATTTAGCTTCCAATTTTTTATACTACTAGAAATGTATCAAGAGATACATTTTTATAGGCATACTTTTGTGTATATATGTGAGACTTTCTCTTAGGGGTATTGATCACCAAGTATTTTCAAAATTTGGTTGCTAATCAGTAGGGATCCACTTTGGTATGCCAAAATATAGTTCCTTAAGGTACAAAATTTATTCAAGGTCAAATAGGCCTTCCCATAATTCCCTTCATGAACTCATGAACTGAAAGTAATGCAAAGGGGAAGCATTAGCCTCAAACTTAAGAGCTCTGGGCCCTACTCTGGATCCAACTCAGAGCTGTGAGTGATGTGGTGTGTGGCATCCAGCAAACCCATTCACAGGCAATATCTCAGTTTCCTTCATTGATCGATATACTCATTCACAACTAGTCTCTCTCTCTCAAAGGTGGTTATGAAAGCACATACAGTCATGGATATATAAATGCAAACAGGCTTAAAAAAATGCACCAGGTACCATTCTTACATCCCCAAAAAAATGTGGAATCAACAATTTGCATAGCTCCACATATTCCTGCAAGCACTAGCTATGAAATCACACGTAACAAACCCTTCCCTCCTCCATGTGCTATAAATTCACTAGTTCAGAAGCTTCCCCACTTTGTTCTTCCCTGCCACCTCTCATGTCCACCATCATCACAGCATAAGAGGATGGCAGCCAATGACACAATTCCATCCGACATGCTGGCTATGGCTGAACATTCTGCTGTAAGCACCATCAAGAAGTCATGGAGTCCTCAAGTACACTCTGTCCCTCGCTACACAGTTCACAAAAGCAGGTAAAGAGGAGGAGGTGAGTCTAGCAGCTCTGCATACTGAGTCTTAAGTTTATAACAAATTGGAAATTGGCAAAAAAAGACAGTGACTTTTTCTCTTTCTCACCTATTAAATTAAATCTTCTCAATCAGCATCATCAAATCAGTCTACCTCTAACTTTTCTGCCTAGCAGGCTTCAGAAATTGCTACCTCCTTTAGTTTCCTCTGCGGCTATAGTGTTTGGAGCATCTACTGAAAAGAAAAAAACAACACAATTTGTTCCAGTTTTGATCTCCTTTTTAAAACACTATCTGAGACTTCACTTATACTTATAAAAAGTGTTATATTGTTGTATATTTCTCTATTTTGGATGAAACTAATGAAAATAAATTTGGTTCAAATTATTTTCAATTTTCTTGAGTTAAATGAGCTGTTACAAGCAGACGTCAATTCCCTTTAAATTCGCATGCTCCGCCTAGTGCCTTAATTGCGAACAGCACCCACTATCCATTTTTGCCAAAGAATTCCTGCTTCATGTGAAAATTACAGACCTCCAACTGTAATTGGATTGTGTATCCCAAAGCTTAGAGAAATGGAGAGAGCGACAAATGCATGGATGAATAACAAAAGAGTTTCTAGTAAATCAAGACTATATGGTAAGGTGTGGTAGCTTTAATGGTCCAGAAGATATTTTCAAATTATGGCAAAGTCTATATACCACAACAGGTGCTCGATTTCCTACTTGTTTTTATGAGGCTTTAAGTATATCGGCTGCCAATCCAGCTTCTCAGACAAAGGGAGTTTTGGGGGTGAGGCTTGGAGTGTACGTTCCAGCTTAGACTTGTCCTTGGGTTTGCTGTGGTAGTTAAGGGTGAAGGGAGAGCAGAGCTGGCCTTCAGTTCCATGGACCAGAAAAAGAAAAGCAGAACTAATATCTGTGTCCACAGCTCAAGTAAGTCCAAGGAAATGGGTGGGCGGTAAGAAGGGAATCTGAAGACTGGGCGAGAGCCAGAACCAGACCCGGAGGATGGAGTTCCCTGGAGAGAACAATGGGCACAGATGAGGTAGAGGCGCGGGCCTTCCGGAGCGTCTTTGGGAAAGGAGCTTAGAGGCCACCAACTGGATTACGTACTGGAGGAATTATTCTCACAGAACACGTCCCTGAAGTGCTGCTGCCTTCACTACAGCTTCATCTCTGTGTCTGTGCGAATGCTCCTGCACATCCAGTCACTGAGCCGGCTGACTTCCTTGAGTTGCTTCTCCAAGGAACGATACTAAGACTCCACCCAAAAGTGACACCTCAGTCCTTAGCCTCTCCCTGTCTGCCACCCACGCCTGTGGAAGCAGAGGCTGGCGTGCTGGTAGGAGCTTTGCCTAGGTGTGGCGGGATGGGTTTTCCCTTCGCTCTCCAGCTGTGATGAAGAAGCAACCCACGGAAGGAGGTGTCATAAACCACAACCCACCAGTGGGAAGGGAACTAACTCTTTTAGCCTAATAATTACGAGCGACAGGCTTGTGAGCAGACTTGTGCGTCAGGACGTGCTCGATGGCCTCTTACGTAGTCACCCTGTGGCAGGACCCCTGTGAAGGACACCTGTGCCTTTGCCCTGTCACATCCAAGGTCAGAGTTCTCCTCTCCATTCATGGGCGGAACCAAAAGGATTGGAGAATTAACAATACTCCCACCAGGTTCCAGAAACAGAAGGAAATAAAGTGGATCAAGGGTGGAGAGAAAAGGGGAATCAAGCAGAGAGGAAATGTGGGTGAAGGTCCAGGTTCAGAGACGGTGGAGGTCTTTAAGATTCTAAGACAAAGGCCTCTGTGGCCAAGGATGGAGCCCAAGAGCCCAGGGACCACTTCCTTATCATCATATTCAAGGGATTCCATATCAGAAGGAACATGTTACTCAAAACAAGATAGAACACTGCTTCTACTCCAAGGTCAGTGATGCTGAATATTTCTTCCAAATCATTATTTCCACTTCAATATACCCTTTGATAACATGTTGATAAAAGAGAAGCTTTTATTTGACTATATATAATCATGGACTTAGACTGAGAAAAGCAAGAGCAAATCACTTAAGTGTGACACTATTCTACTGAGAGTCAGATACAGTCAGAGTTATACCATCTGGACCCCTTTAAGTACATGAGCCATATCTTGAACCTGAATGTAAGGTTATATCCATCAAACAGACATTACAATAGATGAATTTCAAAAATAGAAGAATTGTGTGAGTGGAAATTACTGTAGTATCTGTCTGCTTTTCATCTAAGCACAGTTTTGGCCAGAATTCCAATAAATGAGCATATTATCAGTTACATTAAACAGTATTCTCTGGTCAGTAGAAATCAGTGGCAGCAGCAGAAAATTAAATATTAATTAATATATTGAATTATAGACAGCATACATATGGACATACATATATAGATAGATAGCAGGTAATTACATCAGGATACTGATTCTCTTCTCTGTTAGGAGGATCAGAGGATCTATAAGTTTTGTGTCAAGCATCTTTGACACTTCAGGAAGTGATCACTCAGGAGTCATTCATTTACGCAGGAACCCCTCGGTGTATGTAATATTGGGGTGGGTGTATGTGTGCACACAGGTTTGCAGGTGGAAGAGGGAGGGAGGGAGCAAGGCTGGCTGAGGAAAGCTTGGCCGTTCAGCACTGAGAAATCAGTTTTTAAAGGTCACTGCGGCAAGCTGAAACGAAATCAGAAAAACTGAAGTCATTGTTTTAATCAGCCTCAGGCAAACTGCTAGGGCAGAATCAAAATCCATTACGCACAGCAGAAAAGCAACAGCAACTTAATTCTTCTACCAAGTAGTGCTTAGGGAAACCCTTGGCATTTGAGGGTTTAACGACTGTTGGTTTCGGTAAGTCCCAAGCCACCTGCAGGGGCCTGACGTGAGGGGTCTTACAATTTCACTGCGGTCCAGAATTGAGTTCCTGGTCATGGCTCAGCACCCCAGGGCCATCCCTGCCTCCACTCACATTCCAGA